TCTCCATATACAGTTGGAAATCCGGGGTATTTTCCCCATCATACAGTGCTGGAAATCCAATCTCATCAACAGGGGGGTGCAGATATAAACTGGAATGGCCCATTGCATGTTGTGTTTTGGTGTTCATCAACTAATTTATCAGAGTTTGTTTTGCGGCATATGTGAAGCAATGAATGCCATCTGTGATGGTATGTACTACTTGGAATTAATTTTCGCTGAAGGAATGATTCAGTGAAAATAAAATCCAGCGAATATACATTTTATTCTATATTTTACATTCAACTCATCAAAAATCAGTGAAAATAAATTCCATACAAAACACCCAAAAGGTCTTTTTAGCGAAATTAATTCCAGCTAAAATAAATTATTTTACAGTAGTGTACATGGTAACTAATCGTTAAGGCAGACCTTGCATATTTATTTAAGACTTCCTTGCTGTCTCAGTTTGGAATGAAATATGGCAGGTTTCACAACACTAATAGAATTTGTATCAAGGCTTAGTGACACAGTAGGACATGTAATCGGCTTTTTTTGAAAAACAATTTTTTGGAAGGGATGGATGGCATGTTTGTTTATTTATTGTGTTTATGATAGCAGAATAAGCCAACGAGCTGATTTTGAAATGGTGGACTGATACATTTAAAGGGAACATATGATATTGCTTTGATGATGCTGTTTACTATAGGGTTTTAAAAATTAGACAAAATCACTTTTTTAAGTTTGGTTACTTAATGCATTGATTTTTTGTGTAATGTCACTCTGTGATCCTAGTTTTACATTGTTATCTGTGTTGAGTTTAAATGTATGTGTAGTATGAAGCTGGCATAGAATGTGCAAGGAATTGAATATGTTTAGTGAAAGTGACCTGATCTGATCAAGGTAGCAAGGATTTTGTACATTTTCACAAATGTTGAGTGTACTGGTACTATTTTCACATCACTATTGTTTCATGATAATTCAAAGCAAGAGTGCAAAGGTTTTCTCCTGGATTTTATAATTATCCCATCTTTATTCAGCCTCTCCATCAGTAGATGCCGGTTTACTATCTTCTGTTCATATTTTTTCTGCCTCTTAGGGGTGTGAAAACATTGGTCTGTTTGCAAATGAGCAAAGAAATTAGTTTTGCTGAGAATTTAATGTGCTTGATCATAACTGCTGTGATGTTTGATAGTTAATTTGTGTTTGTCTGATGTGATGCCCATTAAAACTTCTTCTGTGGTCTATTCAGGTGTGAACATTACCGTAATAATGACAGTTGTAGCAGTTTGTAAGTGCACCTTGTGGGCTGCTTAGCATATATTATTAATTGATTGTGATTTACATGTACCGGGTACTCTAAATGGTTGCATTGATGTTCAGTTGCGTGGAAAAACCATAATTGGTGGTTACTAAATTACCTAGCTCCGGTGTCCTTTTCAATCATCTATACCAGTGGTTGTCTATAGAAGATGGAACTGAGACCTGAATCTGTCAAGCAACACGCACATATATGACATACAGGTCTCCCATGAAAATTTAAGCCTCAAAACATAAGTTCAGTTAAATTGCTTTAAATTCAATTTTAATTTTAATTCAATTCAACTCAAATAAATTACAATTGCAATTTAATGCAATTTAAATTACCATTATAATCAAACTTGCTTAAAATGCAATCTTATATCTTGTTAGAAATAATTTCAATGAAAATCAACTTAAACTTGAGTTAAATTCTTGGCATTAGCAATAGAGTAAAGGGATATAGATAGGTACGCTGTATATCATACCTATATATAAAACTCAATACCGAGACATATATTTCTTTGAATCGACTTTAACATTAATTTTCTGGTGATGTGGTTCTGGTTCTAGTTCTGTCTTTTATTGACAACCGTAAACAGAAAATAAATAGCTCATTAACTAAAACTTGTAATTGGAATTGACAGAGTATGAAATAGTATGAATGCCTACATACCTAACCCCACAGGATGAAAGTTTTATCATTCTATGTGTGCAATCTGAGCATCAGTCAATCTGATTAGAAAAGTCTAGTCATCTTTAGTAGGAATAGCAGTGCCTATTTTCTGAAAACATGGCCTAATTATCTGTATGTAGATCTAATACTTTGATGTGGTCTACATGTCTTGTTCACCTGTACATACTAACAGCTGCTCTCAGTGTGCCATGCCAGTATATTTAACTATTTAGTTAAATAATACATACATGGGTATACTGTATGTAAAAATATTATCCAATCTTTCCAGTATGCTTCCAAAGGAGGGATTAAATATTACAGCAGCCATCGAATGATGTGTACATTGGTGCAGACTGAGAAATATGCCATTATAAACATTTACGTAAAGCAAAATGGTTACAAATAATAGTGTAGTTGTATATAGGGATCTTGATAGGGCCAGTGATTGGGGTAGTGGGAAAATGAATGCTGGTTCCCATGAACATAAAATTGATATGCAAATTTGTTAATTAATATTCACATTTTTGTTTTCCCTCAAAACTGTAATATCCCCCTCAATTTGTCACATGACGAATCAAAATTGTCATTTGCACTCTTTTCCGAGGGGGATGCTCATGTAAGATTTTCTGAATTGAGGACCCTGGGTGCTAATGCGGTCCAGTACGGTATATGGTTTTTTTTCTTAATAAAAATTGCATGTTATTCATCATAACACTGTAAGTCTAGTGAGCTATCTGTGTTTACAGAAGACAGCAGCTAGAAATTTCAGGAAATTATATCAGGATTCATCTATATATAAGTACTGTCTAGTCTAGGAAATTTGATTATTTATGATTAATTATTGCTTTCATGCCTTCTTTTATTATAATTTTGTTTTTACGGGTAATTCTCCATAAATTATGATGTCATTATTTCATGTTCTGGTCAAAATAGTGCTTTTCGTAACCTTTTTTTTTTGTAAATTGATTTGTTTATTGGGGTTGAGTACTGTTTTTCTTAGGAAATGAGGTAAATCTTGCACTCAAGATCCAAAATCCATTTATCATCATTTTATGCTGGTATAGTCCCCATTGTGAAAAAGATCGTCACAGATAAAATGTCTTCCCTATTGTCAATGAAGTGCCTGTGATTGTTCATAGGTGCAAGGTGTTATTAAGATTGTTGTATTTCCAAGGACAATCATATGTTATGCATATTAAACAATACTGGACAATACAAGCACTTTATTTAATTAGCCCCAAAATGTGTCTTTATGCCTGCATGACTGCTGCTTTACAGTAATCATGGTCATGATTTCAACCCATTTCCAGTGAATTTGAGTGACAGGATTATGAATTATTTAATACCAAAGTAGATTGTGTTCACTGGCTTTGGAAATTACAATTGTTTATGCATGGACTGCTTTACTTTATTGGTTTTATTGTACAGTGATTACTACCATGTCGATGTTTCCTCCACAAGACTAATGTCTCGGCTATCTAAAGAAGGTTAAGAATGATTCTACTAACTAAACTAAAACTCAGTGAATATTTTTATGTAAAGTCTTGCAGTTACAGTTTCACCATTATGTATACATCTGCACCTGTGTTTCCCACATGCCAGGACCGATTATTGTTGAACTTCACACACACAACATTTCACGCATTCGCACATGCTGTCATTTGACAATGTAATTCAGGATGGACCAATGGCAGTCATTTTAATGATAAAATGCGTCAAAAGTGTTTTGCCATTCCAAATTCAAATGTTAGTCTTCACACATATATTACACATATCAATTGACATGTATTGCTTCAAGTTCTGATTCAAATGGCTGACTCAGTTTACTATTGGGGTCCTTGTTGTTTCAATGACTTATTTGTATAATAGATCCAAAAATTCACTGCTGACAAGTACACAACTGATTTTTTTTCAAATTGGCAGAAAAAACTGAAGATATAGTTGGTCCCAACAAAAGTGTTTTTAATATTAAAAACAAAAACAAAATATGAAAAAAAAAATGTTTTTTCCAATTAGGTGGTCATTTTGACCAATTGCTTTCTACATAACTGTATTAACATACATCCAGTAAACAATAGTGGTTATGTAACCTTTTAATCAATGAACTGCCTCTTACATATATGATGACAATTCCAGTTCCTGCAATGGCTAGTATTGGAGATTCTATTCTGAAGATCTGTTTTTATGTTCTTGCCAGGTGTCTTGGATATAAATTAGACTCTGTGGCAGTCAATATTAGACAATATTCATCTATTCCTAGATGTTATGATTGTGTTCAATAAGATTTCTAGTAAATCTGATATTGATTTGTTTCTGCACAGAATCATTTTAATAGTACTCTTTAATTTTATATATATTTATTGTTATACATTTTTTGTTCTCTTTGTAGTGTTTGTAGGCCATAATATTTAGTGGATATGCCCGTTGATATGTGTATTGAATAAAACAAAAATACAGAAATAAAAATCACCACAGTAACGATGTATGACAAATCAGTATAAACCATGTTATTGCTAGAATTGCTATCAGGGAGAAATTCAGACTCTATATCACTTTTTAACTGCTCAAGTAGAGAAGCTTGAGTGTTCGGAATCAGAGTATTTAAGGAAACCTAGAATTATGAAGTTATCATTTTTTGTGTTGCATTGTTTTTTTCAAAAATCTCCTGGATTGTCTGGATTATGAGAATATTGACATTTTGAAAAATCAGATCATGAAGAAGATAAGATCAATTTATCATTATATAAAACAGGCGTGAACAACTCCATGGCTTCACTCTTGAGTATATTCTGTCTGTAGAATGTGTTTGTTTGTGTAAACTGTTCATGATATTTGCTCACCTAATTTTTTGTCCAAAGTCGTGTCAACTATTATTCATGTTTTGGCAGGTAACACAGCGTGCCTGTAAAATCTAGTGTTGGGGAATACTCCATTTTTCATTCACTGACAGTTTACACGGTTTTTCTTTGTAGTGTTAGATAGTTGGGAGCCATCTGTCTTTCACCGAGACAATCTAATTGCAAATCATTGCATATTTTTTCTTTTTCAGTCATGCAAGAATTATCATCTCAGTACGAAGCATTGAAAGCACAGTTGAATGATAATGAAACTCACTTACAGCTTGGTAATTTAGAGCGCAAATGGCAACACCATGAACAGAACAACTTTGTGATGAAAGAATGTATCCTTTTTTTTTTTTTTTCATACAACATCATTTCCCCCCTATTACATATTTCTGCACTGTTAATACCATCACTAACCAGTTTGCAATGTGAATGAAGTCAACTACTGTCAAAAGGGATGTTACCATGGTTTCTTTTCATGTTGTCATGAGGATATGTTGTTGTTATTCTGTGATAAATGGCAGTTTTACTCTGCAGTTTATATATCTGTTTAGTAGCTGATGGGCTTATGTATTATGTGTGCTTTCTGTTAGAGACATGCTTTTGATAGACCAATCATTGCACAAGTATCCCGGTACTGTTCTTGCAACATACAAGTATGTTTGCCTCTCTTGTAATAGGTAAAGCATGTTGTGTACATGTACATGTTTGTTCTTTATTGTTGCTTCAACACAAAACAAAATAGGTCAAAAGTAAGCCACAAACGTGGGTCTCAGATATATGGATCCCAGGCATTCAAAAAGTTATATCAGGTGTTTAGTCAGCACATTCAGCTTCACATGTTGCACTCAATGTATATTAGTCTGATTGGCAATCACTTATATTTCAGTTCATATTTG